AAAAAAAAAAAAACTCCAGAAGAAATTTGTGTTCAACTTACCACATGGTTTAATGTTGCAATACTCCCATGGGGTATTGGGGTCAAGAGTATAACACCACGGCCTTGGCTTACCATCCGGATTGCGGCAATAATTATCATCAAAGCCTTTGTCAGGATATCTGTAAAACAGACCAACGTGCATGTCAGCCAAGTCAGCTTGACAAAAGATACAAACCAAAGCCCCCCAAGTTGAGGTAGGAGTCATATTTGTCCTAACTGGCTTAGACTCCAGTTGCCCAGGAGGTGCTAAATGCCTACATATGTGGGAGCTGGAGCACCCATCACTGCCAGTAGAAATGAAAACTGAAAAAGAAGTATTTTGATATGATGCAGGATATCAAGTGGGGTCATTCTGCTAATTGGGCAATGTCCCATTAGTATTGAGTCTGACACAATAGCCCTACTTTGCTATCTTCAAATGGCCCAATTAAGTGTGTACAATAAGCACACTTCCTGGCCTGGCAGACTCATTAAGCAAATTGATTGTATAGTTCAACAGCCCTGGGTTCAAACTGGTAGCGATTTTCAACAGACCCCATGCTAATAATATCTCTATTTTTAGATTCCAGCCTGTTAAGAGGCCATGCCCTTATATCCAGCCTGCAAGGAGTACAAAAAATTATAAGTAACATAATTTTTCTTTGCCCTCCTTTATCTTGTCAGGATTTTCCTCCTTTTAATTAATTCCATATCCCTTCGAAGGTATTACTAAAGGAAGGGAAAGGGGAAAAATGTCGATATATTAGACAACTGTGAACTTTCTGAATGACTAGCATTTTATTATTCAATTGGAAGTGTTTGTTTTATGTTTCTTATTTGTAGTGCAGTGGCAGGTGATGGTTAAATTGTTTTCAAGAGAACACAGATGGTAACTACCTTTGAACCCAAGACCTTCTGGAACTGCTAACAGATGTAGGTCTCAAGAGCAAATTAAAATAAGATCAACCACTGCCTGCTTCA